TTCAGCATTTAATAAAAGTTCATTTAATCTGTGTGGTGATATAACTGCTGTTAGCATCAGTTAGTCTCCCCCCATCAGGACCGCTCCTGTCCAGATGATCCAGTTCGTTTCCTCTCCATCTCCTCTGGTTTTCATCATTATTTAGGTCTGAGAACTGAGACACGGCAGACGGTTGATTTGGTGTCTGATGAAGCTTTTCTGTGTTGATTTGGTCAAATGTTCTGGATCATTAACCTGCTGAAAGACTCACTGATGAACCATGTTTGGTTTGTTATTTAGAGTCTGGTTATGTCTTAGTTAGTTTATGTACATATTTGATCCGAAAATGGAGAAAATCCACAACAAATCCAAACTTATTTTAACATTTATTGCTTCATTCTGCCTTAAAAAAAATTCAGAATTGAGGACAGATGAAAAAATGGAGAAATTATTTATCCTGTTCTGTTTTCACCATTATTTGTTTGTCCTGAAACTTAATAGAGCCACTATAAATAATTTTCGGTTAACTCCAAACTTTTAAAATGTTAGAAAGATGACAGAGGAATAATTTAGCACAAAAATGTTACTAATGAGCTGATTTGCAATTAAATAATCTGGTAAAACACCCGGAGTTCAAATTTTATACTTCAAACTGAATTTGTTCTTCACATTAATAAAAAAAGTCTAATTGAAGTACAGAAGATGAGCCAATCAGGTTTAAGTTCATTAAAACCAGCCTGCTTGTGGAAACAGAATGAGTTGGACTCCATCTGATGAGTTTCAGCTGAAATATTGAGCCTCTTCATTTTTCTGCTGATGGAAAAAATATTCAAATCGTCGGCGCAGCCTGCATGCTGTCGCTGATTAATGTGTTTGAGCAGCGCTGATGTTTCTGGGTAAAATAATTTCTCCAAAATAAACAGTTTCCTCCTGAAGTCAGGTCTTCGGACCTGGTGATTCATCGGCCTGTCGGAGGAAATGTCCTCCTGCTCGGTCCTGCTTCACTCCAGCGCTGTGACTGGAGCGTTTCTGTGTGTCTGCATTATCCCGGCCTGTTGGCAGCAGCAGCCGCTGTAGCGCTGACTAATGCAGAAACAGACTGCAGGCTAAGCTTCTTTTTCCTGAAACGTCTTAAAACCTGAAGGCTGCGCTCTGTTCCCTCCAATATTTATGTCGCTGCTGCAGAAATGTTTCAGTGGCTCTGATGTGAAGCTAATTATGAAGCTAACATTTCATTTGATGATTTAATGCTCACATGTGGCACGCTCTGTTTGTTCTGGTGCTAATGGCTCCTTTAGACAGACCTCATTACGCTGAAGAGCTGAAAGAACCAGAACGAAAGGCAGCAGCAGACCTGATGATAAACAGATCAATCTGTCAACAACAGAAAAAAGTTAAATTACCATCATTAATTGTTTTAGTATGTGATATGAGAGGATGTTGAGTCAAGTTATTGTTCATAAATAAATCTTTCATAATTAGGCTCAAGGATTGCATATTAAGAATCAACATTAAAATGAACCACATCAACTAAAAGCAATAAGAAAAACATCGAGAACTATTTATACTCCACAACAACCAGTAGACCTGAGATCCAAACTGGTTTTTCTTCTGTCCTACTATTACAAACATAAAGGGTGAATTTATTCTGATTTTAAGGTTCAGTAGGATAATGAATGGATGGATGGATGGATGGATGGATGGTCAATTGTTTGTTCAGCTCTTGAAAAACAACTTCCTGGAGGTGTGGACTCAGTTAAAGATTTAAATTTTCCCAGTTGCTAATGTTTTCCATAAGACATAAGTAATGCGCCAAAGGAAGCTACGGTATGACGCTAACTGGAAACTGCATGCAGTGTGAGGTATTACAGCCTCAACATCTTTGTCAACAATAAAATGTCTTAAACATTCACAACTCACTGATGATTCATTGATTGGCTCAGTTGAAATTCATCCTGAGAAATTGAGCTTAATAGGAGAAAAGCCAGACGGAGCAGTGAGGGTAGATGAGAATCCAATGATCAGGCTACTTTTACTTCATCAGTGATGTAAAACTGAGTAAGTGAAAGTTTTAAAATGGTCCAAAAGACCAATCAGTTATGTTGTCTGTGGCAGAAACTGATTTAGTTTGATCTCTTCTGTACAGAACTAAAAACTCTCCTGGATGGAAGGGAACTAATAATCAGAGGAATCAAGAATCAAACTTGTTGAACCTGAAGCAGATGTCAAATCACAGTAGGGCAGCAGGGCAGTCAAAAATAACTTATCATTTTATTAATATTATATTTCAAGTGTTGTGCTTTTATGCTCTGCAGATTTAAAACATTTTGATCACCTGGATCGACTCCAAGTTTCCTTAATGTCTCCACCAGAATCCTGGAGCATCAGAGGATGCTCCAGGAGCATCCTCTGATGCTCCTGGAGCTTCAGAGGATGAAATGCAACAGTAAAGAGCAGAGAAGTGTCTGTTTTAATGATCTATACCACTATTATGATTTATGATAATAACATCACAATTCTGTCATTTTCTTAAATCTGGAAATCTGAGTATTCGTCACCTAATACGTATTTAATGATTAAACACACAAAACAAACAATGAGTAGCAAACAAAGATAATTACTCATCATTAAGACGTCATCTGGAAAGCAGGACAGATTTAAAGTTCTTTCACTTCCAGACAAACCCTCCCTGTCATCCTGCTGTTTCCTCCTGATCCTGGACCATCTGCAGATTATTTCACATGGAGCCGATCAGACGGTGTGGATTTACAGCCGTCCAGCAGCAGGAGGTCAGATGGAGCCGATCTGATCCCACACAGCGGCACGAGTCGACCAGGAGGCGCAGGACGGATGTGTGGACGGAGGTCTTCCCCTCCTGAGGAGTTTCTGATGGAGGAGGGGCTCCGGTGGCCCTCCATTAATTAACACCAACTAATATGAAGGAAAGCTGTCCCACAGAGACCCCCACCACCCCGCTGCCTTTGTTAGAGGCCTGGCGGTGTGTGTGTGCAGGGGGAGGACCAGGAGGAGGATGAGGGGGAGGCCATCTGCCGCTGAGCCTGCTGGGTCAGGAGGCTTTTGTTGTGAAGGAGTGATGAGGCTGATAGATGGTGGTTGTCACCTACCGCTGGTTTAATCAACTGAAAGTGTCCCAGCGTGTGACATGTTTGATTCTCCCACTGCAACACACACACACACACACACACACACACACCTCCCACAGAGGCAAATAACGATTCTCCATATTTACTGAATAATTTAAAGTTTGGATGAATAGATTACAGCAGAAATGTAAAATCGATGAATGAGAAATGAGCAGAAGGATAAAGTTCTGGGTTTCATATTTGGGTTATTTATAGATTTCCTAAAAAGAGTGGCAGCCTTTCATCTCCCGCTGTCACCCCGACCCGAATTCAATCAGGAAAAAAGAGAATGCTGCGCACTGCGCATGCGCGTTAACTAATTAAAGCTGCTGCGTCAAGCTGCATTGGAGGCGGAAATCAATAAAACTGGCTTTCATAATAAAACCATTTTAATATGTATCTTTTAAAAAGCATGAAGGCACAAGTCAAGCTCTCGATGACTTGTCACCTCCAAGTCTTTCAGCTTGAAAGGAGCAGAACCAGAACATGATCTGTAAGTTTTAGATAAAAACAATTGTAGAGGTAATTAAAAAAACAATCTATTTAGGTCATGAGTTTCTTTTTGTTATAGTATGGGAATGTTTTACTTTGAAATTAATTATTTATTAAACTCAATTAAAAATAAAGGCCCAGATTGTTGGCCTTTGGCAATTTGTTTAAATAACTTTGTGACAATCTTTGTGACAGTATTTATTCTCTTAATAAAAATTTAATTGACTTGTTAACCATAAATTTGGCAATATTCTTGTTTCTTCACATTTCTAAAATCAACTTGATTGTATCAAATTGTATCTAGATGATATTTTTCTTAAATAAACAGCCTTATGTCTTGTTTAAATATTAAACAAGATATTAGATATTTAGTTTCTTAGCTCCCACATGTCACACGTCGCCACCTGTCACAGCAGTTAACTAATCAGCGATCACAATTTTCCCTGAGGTACATGACCCTTATCTGGAGGAACTGAACCTTCGTCATCATTTTCGGGGTAAATAATAGGAAGTAATGGTCCAATGTGTCAGTGGGGAAGATGTTATCCTGACTGATATGCCAGAGCATTTAGAGACCGGAATACAATTTGTTACATTTCCAAAAGCCAAGTGGAATAGTGCAAGAAAAGCATCAACGGCAACTTCCACATGTTCATCTGCTCAAAGGTGGCTGGTAGTAAACATCCTGTTTTTGTCATAAAACTTATTGGTAAGACAAGGTAGGTGCTTTATTTTATATGTAAATTCCAATGGTAGCATTGAAAACGCAGTAACTGCGGTATTTATATTTAAGCACCTTTTCATGCTAATGTTTGTTTTTAAGCATTTTCCTGAAGGCAGATTTTTATTAGCCGGTATTATTTAAGTGGTTACTGACCTGTTTTGTATGTGAACAATGCTTCAGACACAGATTTCAGACTCACATCCAGAGAGACTGGGCCCCTCATTGTTCCTCTGGCTGAGAAAAACTTTGGCTTAATGCTGATTTCTCCTTGTTTCCCCTGATGTAGGAATGTTTTAGCCGTCTTTGACTCGGTGTTGGGCTATAAGGCAAAAATGACTTAAAAAATGTATTGGGTTCTATTACCTCTGTCATTATAATACTTATTATATTGATTAGACTAAATGTTAAACATTATATTAATATAATAAAAATAAATATCAACATACTGAATATTACAAAAGACTTAATTTGTAGTAGAAATAATGTAATCATAAAATAAATACTGTAAAATTAGTAATCAATAAATAACACTAATGTTATAGATTTAAAATAAAGAAATATTTCAGCTTCAGACAGCTTTTACACATTTATTTAATCTCCGTTAAAAAAGCAGAGGAGCTGGTCGAGGCGTTTTATTTTGAAAGGATTCCCGGAAGTGTGTGTAATTAGTGAGTTGGAGCAGTTGGAGGCAGCTGGACCGGCGGCAGCAGTAGGTGCTGTCCCATCATCAGTTCACACCCAACGGGGCCGCAGCGCACCGCTCCTCCGGCCGAACACCATGACACCCGGATCCAGGACCGCAGCCTGAGCCGCACCGAGGACCGAACCCCGAGGACCGCGGGCACACGCACACAGCCGCGCGTACACGCACGCAGGAAGGCACGCACGCTCACGCGCGGGACAGCGACGCCGAAGATCGCAGCGACCCACCGGCAGATTGACGGAGGGAGCCGCGGAGCTGCGCTGCGGAGACGCGTCCCGCCACAGAACCCGGTCCGCGCGAGTCATTTCACGCCCACGCAGATTTTAAAACATGTCATCTTCGGGGAAGGACGCCAACAGCGGGCATTACGCCAACTATGTGGGACCGTACCGGCTGGAGAAGACGCTGGGAAAAGGACAGACAGGTTAGTGAAAACCGCACCTGCTCCGCACACATCACGCGTCCTGCTAAGTGGCCCCAGTTTGGTGCTGCGTGTCCTGAATGTGCTGATGGATGCGGGAGATGCCTCCTAAATGCGGATGCAGACTGCAGAGAGAGGAGCTGCTCTGCTCATGATGCTGCTGCTGCTGATGGTGATGGTGATGATGGTGCGCCTTTAATCCTTGTTGTCAGGCAGACAGCGGGGTGATAATGGGCCCTTGTGAGGTTTGCGTGTCTTTTAGTTTCACCCATCTGTCACTGGGGCCTCTGCAGAAGAGGCAGAGCAGTGATGCTGCAGCTCAGGGTGATGCTGCAGCTTTGGCTCCAATGCAGCACACTTCAGCTCTGTGCCTGCACTGGAACAGCAAGTTATCTTCAGATTCTGATCCAGGCCCGCTCTGTTCAGGGACCAGTCAGAACTCAGAGAGGACTTCCAGGTTTAGGACCGGATCAGACACGGAAATCCTTCCTGAAGAGGCAGAATCTGGATTCTCTGTGTATGTTCCAGCAGAAATGAGCTGAATCAGGTCCTTTTGCCACTGAATGACATCAAACTTAGAGGATGCAGAGAGAAGCTGGAGCTCATTGGTCAGTTTTCAGATTTTTATTCATTTTTACAGCATTTAAAGATTCACAGGAATCTTTGGAGACCTGGTTAGATCAAACCGGAGGATCTTTTAGATTTTCAGTGGTTCAAACAATTCAACATTCTTTTTAATGCTGAATATTGAGAATTAAAACCATTAACTCACTGATATTAGGGAGAATCTGACTCACTGACATAGAAATGTAAATCATATACAGAGGGTCAAAGGTCATACCAGCACAGGTTCATTGATCATTATGTAACCTGATGCCAGAGGAAACCGTGACTTAATAAAGTCAATCACACATTTCTAAAACCATCACTAGATAACCTTTATGTGTTCTTCATACGGTACGTCTGGAAGGCCGAGACAGAGCAAGTGTAAATAAAATAATCATATCTGTGGCAGGAGAGGTCATAATGACGATGTAAATATTGGAAGAAGATGTTCTAAGAAGGGAGCCCTGAGGAACCCCGCGTTGGATCGCTGCTGAGATTTTAAATTGCCAAATGACACAAAGTATTCTGAATCGATATTCTCCCTATCCGATCAACCAATCAGCTTTCTTTAATCAGTGAAACGTTTCGCTTTATGCAGAAGACAACAGAACATTAGTCCAGTCGGCTCTCGCTCTGTTTTCTGTTGTTTTAGAGATTTAATCCTCTGGTGGATGTGAACTAACCATAAAACCACAGCTGGTTCTGAACTCCAGGTTCTAGAAGTCAGATCTTTACATCCTGGATTCTCTCTGGCAGCTCAGACGTTCTGTTACGGCTCGGTTGGCTGAGTCCAGGTTCTGGTTTGGATGCTCCACCATCTGTGATCACACACAGCCAAGAATAATCAGGTCCAGCAGGTAAAAGTGATTCTCAGCTCTCTTCCTCTGCGGGTGAATAATTCATAGCCAGCCAATTAGCTCGTCTGCAGACTCGGAGTTGGAGCTTTGCAGAACGAGTTGCTGCCATATTAATCACATTTTCTCTGTTACTTCTTTGTTCTTCTGCAGAGAAACGGAACAAGTTCATTTATTTTTAAACCTCCTCTGTTTAGACTGACTGAAGTTTCTGATCAGTTCCTCTCAAGCACAGATCAGGTGAAGCTGTTTCTTCATCCTCATGCTGTGTGGAGAGGAAGCAGCGATGCAGAACATCTGAGTTCAGTTCCAGATGTTCCTCACAGCATCCAGACCTGTTCTAGTTCTCCAGAAACTAGAACTACATAAACTACAGAAACAGTCTGTTTCTGTAGTTTGTGGTTATGAGATAAAATAACTGCAGATCATTAAATAATCATTTCTGGATCTGAAACTTCACAAAAGTTAGAAGATGGAACACAAGTGCAAATTTTCCTCTTGTAAGAATATTATTTGTGAATTATTCAGATAATAAAAATCTCTTTGATCTGCACGTCTTCAGATGACTCCACAGGCTGTAGAAGCTCATGCCTCAGCAGAAAGTGACGTCAGCTCAGTGTTGCATCAGCTCCATGTTGGAGGAATAATGAAGAGGAATCAGTTTCTGCAGCTGAAGCTCTGCAGGACTAAATTAATCACAGTTTGTCCTGTTTGAGGCGCAGCACCGCTGCAGACAGCAGCTTCCTGTTCACTCACTTTAATGCTGCAGTTTCTGTCCTCCTGCTGGATGATGGTGTGATTATGGATCTATAGAAGGTGCATTGATGCAGAAATGTGTCCATGCTGCAGACTGAGGGAGGACGGTTAGCTCGCTGATGGTTTTCATGCAAACCCAAAGAATCTGGTGCTGAGCTGTCAGACTGGGAACTCCGGATATCGTCAAACCTCCTACACGAGTTCAGACTGAGCTCTCGCTGCTCTCGCTGCTCTCGCTGCTCTCGCTGCTCTCGCTGCTCTCGCTGCGTCTCGCCGTTCGTGGGAAACACTGGTCGGCTCTGTTAGCTGCTGCTTCATTCGCATGTTTGAGATTCTCTGCATTTTTTGGATATGAAAGGAAAGAAATGTTGCAATTGTTGGGGTCTTGCAAGGCCAGGTTCTTAAAAGATGAAGTGTTTTTTGTTGAAAGTACTTATGAATTATATTTTCATAATAATGAAATACTTTGGGGACTTTTTCTGAAAAACCTTTTGCTTGAATAAAATCTTCTCTGATTATCTGAATCTGTTTGTTGCAGTTTTGCATTATTTTGTTTTATAAAACCACAAACCAGCACTTCTACATGACAAAACACTTAATATTGAGGTTGGATATCTGTTGAGTATAGATATTAGTCCATGCTGTTATAGGATCTGCTGTAAGCTTGATGAGCGGTTCTGGTTCTGAAGGGCCCGGCCCGAGTTCTGCAGGTTTTCAGTGTATCTCTGCTTCATCACAGAAGTTTGCTTTTCTGAATTAAATTTGTTGTTGTTACCCAGTTTTCTCTGAAATGATCTTCCCCAGACGTGTTCTACTTGGAGAGGAAATTAAAGGTTTTAATTCTGAAAACTCACCATAATTAGCTTTGGATGGTGACGTTAGCGTTAGCTTGCTTGGTTATCTCAGACTACATTACATTATCAGATGTATTTTCTCTATTGTTCTACTGTTGATGAATCACAATTTTCTTGTAAATTTCCTGTCCACAATATGGGGATAAAAATACAGCCACGCATTTTCAGCAAGTCTAAATCATTCCTGTGGATGCTAGCATTAGCATACTTGGCTAACTCATGCTTGGTTAAGTTTTATGCTAATTTATTGTCCAATCTCTGCACACTGGTGTTTTACTGTCACACAGTTTATTTTCTTATTCATTACAGAGAGGAGATTTCAGTTGGAGACTTTCATGAGGCCTGAATCACAGTAGTTAGCTGTGAACGCTAATGTTAACCAGCTAATAATATCTTTAGCTTGTAAAACATTAGCAGTAGCACAGTTTGCACATTACAGCACATTTTGTATAACCTCTGTAAACTTGGATAGCAGTTTCTTTGTACGGGTCATGTACGCCGTGCAGGACATAAAATAATACAAATTAGCTTCTCATCAAATCAAAAACACAATAATTAGCTTTGAATGCTAAGATTAGAGTTGACTTGCTTAATTAGCTCATCACACAGTATCTAATGCCTCATTGATTCATTTATCTATATTTAATATAATCATCTTGTCCACTGTGCTGGGGGTATTTTTGCTTTCCAATATGCCTGATTAAATCTCTGGCGGATTGGTTTGTGCTTTATGTTTTTAATGATTCGTTCTTCGTGTTAATATTTTGCCAAAGACGTCCACTGTGTAGTTTGGAGAGTCGGCCATGTTGGAAATGTGAATCTTTTTCCTCTAGAAGAGAAACTGCTTTTCCTCTTCAGTTTTTACTTTTAGCATATTTTCAATTAAAGGCTGAAATGCTTCAGTGAAGAATTCCCAGCTGTAAATTAGCTCAGTTGAATCTAATTTAACCGCCACAGTTTTTAAAAATTCCCACTCTGAGCGTTACTTTTCCGTCTCAGGGCGACGAGCGAGGAACAATGGCTTCATGGTGTTGGTGCTGCGGAGTGTGAGGCTGCGCCGACTCTGAACAATTAGTTTGTGTTCATGTGTGTGATTGTGTCAGTGGAGAGGGGGGTTCTGGTAAGGAAGTCTTTTAAACGGTGCTGTAGCAGGCTTCACGCAGCGCTCGTTCTCTAAATGTTGGCGAACAGTTTGGATGGTTGTCATGGTTTCAGCTCTCCTCCAATGAGAGCCTCCGATCTTCTTTCTGTCTCCACTGTCAGGCTGCCAGTGTTTCCCTCGTTTTGTTGTTTCTCCCTGATCTGCTTTCTGACAGAGTCGCTGTTGACGTTTTTATCCGATTTGTTTTTCTGCTGCAGCCGAACAACATGTGGTCTGCTTCACCCTTCTATGTAAATGTAATCAGCATATAGTGGAGGTTTTTGACACTGGGCCTTATGGGCGGTTGCCCAGGGAGGCATCTCGAAGGGGGCGCACATCCAGGGGGTGGATATAAATTCAAATACATTGGATTTTATTCTGTATTTTAACTGGTTGGAGGAACCATGCATGGAAGAACCGTCACTGTAAGCACCAAGGTGAGGAACAAGTGAACAAGAGTCACTGTTTTCTGTTTTTTCAGTTTTAGCCTGAAGATTTTAACTTTTTGGTCACTAAAGGAGAACAGTCATCTTGTGAATTCCCTGCAGATGCTCAGTTGGTTTTGCAACCAACAGCAATGATTCATCTCTTGAGTTCAGGAGCTTTAAATGAATGACTGAATGATAGATGATGGGTCAGAGTTTGTGAGAAAATACATCTCTAATAATTACTGAAAAGGACAGAAGATCCAAAAGAAACGGGAAGTATTATCAAAAAGAGATAAAGGATCTTAATGTACACAGATATCAAAGATAATGGAGGGAAAAAGTTATTTATAGCTTTAAACTAAACTGTAGCTTTTAGACTTTTCTAAAAGAACCCCATTATTACCGACAGTGAAATCTAGTAGTGGCAGCATCATGCTGGTGGATAAGATTCTGAACAGTTCCCGTCACTTTGACCAAAACCTTCAGGAGTTTGTTAGAAAGTGGAGATGAACGAGTCCAAACACGGATGTCGTCTCCAGAAGAGAAGTTTCCTCTCCATCTGAGATTTGGAGAAGTTTTGGAAAGCTCGGCTTTCCTTTCTCACCTGAAGGTTCTCCTCCAGACGCGGCGGCGGCTGCATGCAGGCGGTTCCTTCGCCTCCCGTCAGTCTGAGGATAACGACGCCGGCGAGACGGCAGCGTTTAGTTTTATTTGTCATAACCTGTCGTCGGCTGTGTGCCCCGGCGTGCGCTCTAATGAAAGTGTCATGTTATTGACGGGACGGTCCTAAACGCTGCGGTCCCTCGGCCCCTGAGCAGAGTGATGATGATGATGATGATGATGCTGAGGAAGGGGCAGCAGATGGCTGCCTGCCTTCAGGTGGCTGAAATACGGCTTCATTATCAGCAGGTTGCAGGTGGAGAGGCTCCCAGCAGGCGCAGCGCCATGCATTCGTGTGTGTGTGTGTGTGTGTGTGTGTGTGTGTTCTTCTGGCTCGTCACCGTGTTTTATTAGACTTGCAGGCTTTGCTTCATTATGCTGCATTAAATGTAAAACGGCTCACATTAAATTTGCGGCGCTTCATTTGCATCCAGACGATAAAAGCTGGAAACACCTGAATGTTTCTGGGTCTGAATCCATCATGAGCCCAAATCAGCTCACAGCCGATGAAACAAACTTCAGGACAGTTTCACTGGATCACAATATTTTATGAGAACAAAGAAAATATTTTTAATATAGAAATGTGAGTGTAATTAAGAATTACTGCGTCAGTGTGGCGTAGCACGGAGGAGCTCAGCCTGCGGTTCTGTTGGGTTCAGGAAGTCCAGTTTGTGTCCTTCTGCTCTTCTTCGTTGGTTCTGCTGCATCTCCAGATTCTTCTAGCTGTGATGTTTGTGGACTCTTCAGAAGATTTCCTGCGGGATCAGTGTCTTCCTGTGATGTTTCTCATATTACAGCTATAAGATCATATCTGAACTAAAATCCTGTTTTCTTTGTCTTTGATGTCTGAGAAACTAAAGTTTTGTTTTCCATCAGCTTTAAGTCAGAATGATCAAAGAAAAGCTTGAAATGAATCACTCTGTGATATCAGTTCACTTTTTGAGTTTCTGTATTTTGGATTATTTTTGCATCATTAACATCAAACCTCTGATCGGATGCAGCGTTTGGTCTGGTTTCACACCTGATGCTGATGATGGATTTTGGGTTCTTGCTGCTCTTCATAAGCTCCTAAATGTTGCAGTTTAATCATTTTAAAATAAAAATCAACCTGGATAAGTTCTAGTTTTATGTGATTCAGACTGAAGGAATTCATCTGTTGTCATTTTAAAAGGTAAAAACAATCATGCATGTTGACTCATTTCAGGTTTTCAAGCTTTTATTGTGAAACTTCAACATTTATTTTGTGGGCCACTGTTGCTATGCAACATGAGGGGCTATAGCTGTCTGGTTGTTTTAAATTAATTCATTTAACAGTTATAACAAATGTTTCTCATCTTACAGTCAGGAAACCTGGTGGACGTCGAGGTCTAAGAAATTATTTCACTTATTTCTGTTTTGTTAGTTTTTCAGCTGATTTAACAGTTAAAAGCTAAATTTAGTCACTGGGTGCAGACTGTGTGAGGTTTGCATGTTGCTGGTTTCATGTCTGCAGATTTTATCTGTGGTATCATAAAAAGTTTGATCTGAATAAGAGATTCATCACCGATATAACTCGTAGAAAACTGACTGAGTTTTTGGATGTAAACTGACTGAGGAGATTAAACTCACACAAAATGACTTTTATGAGGTTTTTAAACCTTCGGTGCAGGACGGGGGACTGAAGCTGAGCAGGTATTTCTAATATTTGATTTATTTTCTGTCTAGAGAGAAAGAAGTGAATGTGTTGGTCTGCAGGTTGGTTTTAAAGCGTGGCTGTAACTGTCTGCTCTGCTCAGGCTCCATGTGTTCAGTTGATGCTCAGAAACATAATGAAGCTTCTGTTGATGTGAAATAAACTGGATACCAGAACATTTATCTCCACTTCCTGTTATATTTCCTGCAGGTTTCTGAGAAGCTTGTTGTCTTTCTGAAAGTTTCCCTCATTTTCTGGCTTCAGTTGTTGTTATCTGTTTAACCACAGAGCTGGTACTGATCCAAACCCGGTCCAGGTCAGAGGCTCACGCAGGTTTATATCTTCATCTCTCTTTGCATTTATCTACATTTTCACTTCCTTGTTTTGGCTGAAGTTTGACTTTTTCTTATGAAATAATGAGTTTAAAAAGTTTTCCTCATGCTGCTGCAGCTGAAAGTCAGTTTGAAATGTCATTTTAAAATTCAGTTTCTTCTTTTCCATCAGAGCCTCACATCAGCATGTTTACATGCAATTACATGAATATGATCCAATTGTGATGCATTTAGTGACAGTCAGAAAATCTGAATTTTCCCTCTGTTAGCTGGGAAAAACCCCTGAACTCAGAGCAGAAGATGTTGTTCTAGTTTTTACATTAAATGCTCCTCTGATGTTTTTTCCTTTTGTTCTCTAGTTGAGTGAATATTTAAAGTCTCTGAGCTTCATGGACTCTATAATCTGTTTCCGCTGTTTGGCTGCAGTGGGACTAAACCCAACAGCCTGAACATCTTATTCATGCAGAACGTGTTTTTATGACACTAACAATATGTCAGCCAGCAGATATGCCTTTATAAACCGTCCTTTGGGGTATTATGATGATATATTTGATATATTCTGCGTTTCTCCCTGTAACCAGCCTCAGTTTTATGAAGCTGTTTGTGGAAGTTTCTTGGTTCTGTGGTTAAAGTATCCGGGCCTGAGCCGTCCTTTTCTGTCCGGGATTTTAGTCCTAGAATAATAAGAGCATGAATATAAACATCTAACTACCTGAAGAATTAACAGTCAATAACTAAATTATTCAAACAGATCAGTAGATTAGTACTTAGGAATTTATCTGGAAATTTTAATTTACGGGAATCTAAGTTCGCTAAACATTTATAAAGTTAGCATAAATGCTAAAGTGCTTAACAAAACCTTAGCTCTGCTATTAGCGCATTAGTGTATTTGGTCTCATCTCTGGTTCTTGGTTTGCAGGACTTTAATTCAGCTTTTTTGTAAAGTGTTAAATAAAACAAAGTTTACACAACTAAAAAGCCCCAAGTGTCTGACCCTGAGGTACACCGATGATGAGACGCTTCATCACCTGGTCATGAACATGTTGTTTTATTATAACTGGTTTTATATTAATCAGGTTTGAACTTCCTGATTTATACAACATGTTTTCTTCAGGTCAGGAAACATGAGATTATTTTAGTTTTCTAACTTATAAATCCATATTGTATGTAATCCAGATGTTTTTGCATCATAACCAACGTTCCCATGTGGCTCTGGTTTCTCTCATCTTCATGTTTTTGGGTACAAAAATAAAAAAATCTGAGTTTTTAATGAGCGCGCCCAAAACTCAGAGGAGGGGAGGAAAGCTGCTGGGGAGGAAAGCCTGTTTCACTCTGCAGGGGGGTAAGAGGGGTAAGAGAGGGGTATTTAAAATGATGTCTGGTGTCAAACAGCCTCATTCTCCTCCTCCTCTGCCTCTCTTTCCTCTCTTTTTTATCCACTTCATCCCTTTGGTTTGTTTCTTTGCCCCCCTCTCCATGCAGAGGGTCTCGGTTACCGTGGTAACCGGCTGGTTGGAGGTATCCTCGCTCTTCATCATCCACCAGTCCCAGAAGGGGGGAGGTGGGTCTTTAGCTCGAGCCATTAAACAACGAGTGAGAAACAAATCCCCCATCGCTGGCGCTCCGTCTCTCTGCTGCCTCTTCCTCACATCACCCCCCCATCATCATCCTCAGAGTCTTCCTCAGTTTTGTCTGAATGCCTGCCTCTTCCACGAATCGCTATGGAGGCGACGCGATTCTCATCTCCTGTTGTCGCTCCGTCCAGCAGGTTATCCACAGCTTCATCCAGTGACCCGACCGCCCTTAACAAGTCCCTGTAAGCCCCCCCC